AATATCCATCACAATTAGTTGTAGTAGCAACTAAAGTAGTAGTTGGTTGTAGTAGAAAATAAAAAAAATAAACTTATCAATGAATTCAATCACATCAAATAAAAATGAATAAAACTATATTAAATTCTGAACGTCGTTTATTTTACAATTTCATATAACATTTATTAAAATGAAACAGCTCATTTTCACCCTTTGTGTTGTCTCTCCTCTCCTCGTTTATTTCCTTTTATTTACTTATTTTTTCCCTCGTCATCACCATCTTCTTCTTCTACTTTTCATAGTGCGATCTAAAATATGACTTTGACTTTATTAGATTCAGCGCAGCGAAGTTTAATAAGCGCAATTTAATTAAGTCTTGCGAGCCTTTCGCAAAATCAAGCAGAGTGTGTTAATAAATTTAAACCGGGTATAAAATTGGAATAGGTTCTTCTGGAAAAGGCGACGGGGCTGCAAAACCGTGAAAGGAAGAAAGAAAGAAAACGCTTAGATTTGCAAACTACTGAGAGCCGAACCGAAGGACTTCCCAAGGACTCTCGAGTGCTTTCCTCCTCCTTCTCCTCTTTCTAACCATATTCTGTTGGCTGCTGGCTCCATATTGTAATCCGCATAGTTTTACAGCTTTCATTATATTTTATTCTGATAACAAGAATATTAAGAGCCCCGGGTCGATTGAAGAGGGAAAAGGGTTGGATCCGATCTGTACGGTTCTTTATGGACTTATTGACAAATGAGGGGAAATACGCTAAGCCATTGTTATGCTAATCAATTGATAACAATGGAACAAACACTCCAGTTTTTTTTATCGAATTCATTAGAGTAAGTACATTTTTTTGAGGTGACCCCAATTGCTGACAATAATTTCTTTGTTTCATTGATTTATCTAAATCATAAATTTTCATACTTTTTTGTACACTTCTTGTTTTTACCAATTGATTATTATACATTTTTTTTTTCATAAAATTGAAATTCGTACAATTCTTCTATTCAACTTTATTTCACTTGTAAAAGTTCTTTACTCCTGATTTAATTCATGCAGACTTTGTAAATGCATCAATATTACTTCTATGAATATTTTATAAACTATAATTACTAAATTTTCATAAACTATTAAAATATTACAATAATTCATTGAGAAAAAGTAACAAAACGTATAGTAAATTTGAGTTTCTTTTGAATGAAAAATTTCATGCATCATCCGTGATAAATATTGTTTTTTTTTTCGATTCAAACAAACTATCATTGATGTTATTAATGGTATTCAAATAAAAACAAGAGGAACGTTACAAATGGGTTTGGATTAAGATAAAACGAATAGGATTGCGTTCAGTTCAGTTGCCAAATCCATCGATTTTCTTTACGCAAACAAATAAAAACACGAAAAAATGTAAAAATATCGTTACTTATTTCTTCATATTATTTATTTCTGTAATTATTATTGAGATAAAAAAATAACAATAATTGATAACTTATTAATACTTTTATATATTTGATTAAGAATTTTACATTTTTTATTCTTGCAAATACAATTTTGCAGATTTTTTTTTGATTTGGAATAATTTAAGTAAAATCCACTATTAATTTTAACTTTATGTAACAGATTTAACAAACTAATATTATATAAATCCTTAATATCAAATTATTTTTTTATGCTAAACAAATCTTCAAATAAAAATTTAAATTTCTGCTATTTATTTTATCACAAATGTGATATAAAATATGAATTCGCTGTTTTTTGTTGTTTTAATTTGATAAACTACAATTTAAATTTGTCAAAGCTCCATACAGATGATTACAATAAAAAATAGAAAGTGATGTGGAAAATATATAGAAATGAAATACAGTTTCGGGGTAAAGTTATAACTGATGTGCAATTCTATTAAATGCAACAACAAGGATACAAAAAAAGCTGAAAATCCTGCGTAAATATCAACCACAAACAGACAAACAAAAAAATAACTGCGAAAAACGATGATCGAACGTCGGTTTTGAATGATTCAACCCTTTCGGAATTGAATTTTCATTTCCCCAATCCCCGTTTCTCTTTCACGTAACCCATCAACATAAAAAAATCTCTCTCCGCATACAGTAAAATGTTGATCAAATCGTCAATTGTACGCGTTTTTGGGGAAAATTGCGCAAATCGTAAATTATGCCATTATCGTTGTTGCAGTTATGCAAACCGGTACCAACCATCAAAGTGCATCGGGATGGACACGGTACCAATTACATTTAAAATCAAAGGAACCGCAGTCCCGCATATTAATTGGACACTGGCGCGGCGCGAAATCTGCATATCCGCGAGGGCGAAACGAAATTGAAAATTATCAATTATGGAAAGTGATGCGAAACCACGGAATGAGGAAGAATATATAAAAAAAAAAGGAATCGAGGGAAAGGGATGGAAAGAAGTGGGGCAGCGAACAAAAGCGCGTGCAAAACGGAAGCGGAAACGAGTTTAGCGAGAGGGTACGAAAAGGAGAAAAAAATGACGATTTCCGATAAGGGTTGGTTGGCGAAGGCGGCGGTTGTTGGGATGAGGGTTTTGGTTTCTTTGCTGTTGAACAGATGACGGCTGTAAATTGTCGGGGCGCGGCGGGATTAGAGATCTGCTTGCCTATGGCTTTGATGGAGATTAAACCGGGAATGGATCCGATGCGTAGGTAATTTAATTTACTAGTGAATTTAACTATAAGCATAATACCCAATTTCCATTTGCCTCTCGTCCATTAAGTCGTTCCGGTTAATTTCGTTAATATTCTAGTACAAACATGCACATTAGGCGAATCGTCCAATCACCGCTTCTTTCTCACGTAATTCCAAATGCAAATCCGACTTCCCCCAAATATTTCCTCATTCCTTTCATCGCTCTAATCGAAACCCATAAGAACAATGTTAAAGTTAAAGACGTAATCTCTCAGTCGGAAGAACTATAATCCAGGATTTCGCACGAGCAGTTGCTCAATTCAAGCTTACCAGACATATTTGTATCGGCTGAATAATTACAAGTATATGTACATGCTTTACCTATATTTTTTTACCCAATATACCTCTTGGCATTTAACAATTCATATTGGCAAAGTACTCAGACTTTCTCTCCGTTACGCAACACACAAATAAAAAAACAACTAATTACATACTAATAACACGAATTAATATTAATAATTCTGTTCCCATTTAGCTAATACGTTTTGAAATGTATTCGATAATAAAGATAATGAAATATATTTTTAAAATTATGTAGAATATAAGAATTCATAAATTAATATAATTAAGCAACAGAAACTAAGCAATTAAGAAGCTTTTGAAACTTATTACTTATATAACTTGTAAGAAACTAAATCATTTGTTGAACTACTCAGGTCAAAACGAATGGGTTAAATAACTCCTAACATTGAAATGCTTTAGTAAATTCATTAGAAAATACTGCGAACATTTACCGGTGCATTATGGTATGTACCCTAGAGTGAAATTTCAAACTTTTGTGAAAGTTATCATGGGGATAAAACAAGAGCAACTAAACAAACTTGTAGAAAATCTCAAAGAAATCAATATATCAACGAATTTTACCATAGATTTTGAACCATTAAAAAAAAGTATCTTATTTCAAATTATTTTCATTATTCTTAAAGAATTATTTTCTGAAATAAAATAAATACCATTTAATGACCTAATTATTAATCCAACTTTCAATATTATTGCAATTTAGATAGATTTGTTCCAATTATCAATCATAATCTTATATACATTCATTCATTAGACTTTCTCTTAATTACCTATACTTTAAAGAATGGTAATATCTACACAATACTAATTATTTAATTTGTTGCTTTTATTTACTTTTAATTTTAAATTAATAAAGTAAATAAAAAAATAAAATTTTCTTTAATTAATAATCTAAATGAAATTTTGATAATATCATATAAAATTATTAACTGACCATAAATAGAGTATAAACATTTTAAACTATATTAAATGAAATAGAAATTAAGAACAAAATATATGTAAATTATAACAAAATTAACTATTGAGACACGTTACAATCTAATTACTTATAATTTTAAAATTTTATAAAATATTACGTAAAATTCTAAAAAATAATACATAAAATTAAACGTCAATGTGAAAAAAAACTAGGTGTAAAACAATATTTAAAAAGACACAAATACAGTCGATTGTTAAGACTTAACTAATCCAAATAATTAGATCTAGTTTTATTAAATTTGATTATATCCGTGCATGAAAATAAGTAAGATAATATTCTATACATTTTAACTATTTATTTAATTTAGTAGTTAGAAGTTCACTAAGAATGAATTAAGGACAAAATAGAAAAAAAAATTAAATAATTTTTAATTTTTACTTCTAATTTAACATTTTCATTTAATCAATTAAATCTTGATCAATTTTCTTAAATATTTTTTAATAAATCAGTAATTAATTTTGCTTAACAATATAGTGAACTAATTAATACTAAAATTTAATGAAAATTTGATATTTAATATTAAACTATTTGTAATTAATTTTAATTAATAAATTGCATTGTAAACTAATTCATAACGAATCAAAATATATATTGGAAATAAACAGAAAATTCAGGAAAAATTGACAGTCCTAGGTCAATAATTCTTCATGGTCCGAAGACCTATTGACTAAAAGTATCATTTTAAGATATTTATCGAAATCATTTTATGTTTTATAATAAATCTTATAACATATATAAATATTTTTATTTTAAATTTTATATTCTTAAATTTTATAGATTATGTGGCAAATCTATAGATTGTATTACAAAAATTAAATACTTACATTAAATTTGCAGCACAGAGTAATAATCACTGCAAAAATTCATTAAAGATTTTCCATTTGCTTTATTTTTTTATTGCAGACGGCGAAAAGTACAAAGCAGATATAAAAGAAACGAAATAATGAAAAACCTTTTTCAATTAAGACTCGGAGCAGCGCGATGCGAAATCAGATTATGTAAAAGCAAACGCAATTACCTGATATTTCCGTTCTCCGCTATATTCTCTTGCCATTCAATACGGTACATGTTAATTTCTCGTCTCAGATTTGTACCGGTTCTCTTGCTTCTTTACTCTCGGATTGGTACGAACTTTTACGAAAGTTTTTTTTTTATTTTAACTTTATTATTTTCCGGTTTCGAACGCGACTTTACCGGGTTCGTATCACGATGAACGCACTCCACCGCAGCCGGAGCGCAACTGGCGAACTCCGGTGCTGTGTCGACGGACGCGCACGTTTCTTCTACTTCTTCGCAGCCTCCGAGAGAGGATAAACGCAGTTGAACGGTACGAGAGATCTACGTTATCCTCCGAACAATCATCATCATCATCATTACCATCACCGGAGACACACCGAAATGCTTGGGAGGGAGTTAAAGATTGTTGAATCTAACTCCACCCAATAATTGTTCGTTTCCAAATCATTTTCTTAATCTATCATCAATAAATGAATGACACTGAAAATTTACTAAAACTTTAAGTTACAAATATTTATTTCAGCTAAAATCATAATTTTGTCCTTAAATAGTCTTAAAGGTAATTGCTTTTAACTAGCTTTTGAAAGTTAACATTTCTTCAATAAATAAAATATTGTCGAAAAAAACTTTTTCTCAATTAAATTTAAAGTATCTTACTCTAATTTATGAATAATCTCATTGGTCTTAGTAACTGCTATACATCAAATAATATATATTTTCATGATATTTTTTATATTTAAAATTGGTACATCCTAAAAATTACGTATAAAAAAAATGTAAGATTACATGTTTCGCTAAATCTCAAGATTCATCAAAAAATATCACTAGTATAGACAATGGCGATAATTGTGAATAATTCTTTATTATACTCTTTTATTTACCACTTTTTTATGTATGAAATCATTGACTATATAGTTAACAATTAAAAAAAATGAGAAATAAAAGCCTAATAATTTTGATGTGCTCATAAATATAGAGTTACGACTTTTTGGCCTCAAAACGCATTCTCGTAGTAAATCAATAAGTAAACTAACTAATTTTATTTTACGGTTAATAAATAATTGATTTATATAAATTTTATTTAAATATTTTAATTTTTCTACAAAATCTAAAAATATTTCGTCTTCTATGGTATAAATATCCAATAGTCAAAATAAAATTTTCGTATTTTCATCTAACTTTCAATGTTTTTTAGTTTATAATTACCAAAAAAAGAAATCTTTGGTATTTATAAAATTAAACATTGATAGATTGAAGTATCATAGTTTAAGAACAAATAAATTATATAAATAATGACTGTATAAATTAGAGTTTATACTTGAATTAATTTGAAATAAATTCACTTGAAAACGTATAAATCACATAACATTTATTATAACGAAAGACAAAAACATAAATTAACAAAATATAGAAAATACAATCTAAAAAACATTTACATTTACATTTTAATACTGAAAGCTATCATTGATAACACTATTATTAACTAATATTTCAGAACTTTTTATATATCAATAATCAAATAATTTTTAGTAAGAAAAACATATAGTAATTAACATTACATTAGGATTAAAATAGGTTTCTTATTACCAAAGATAAAAGAAAATAAACTTAAACACATTATAGTTGAAAACTTTTATAAAATGGTCTTAGTTAGAAATATTCTTAATGTAACTTAAATTAACTATGATCTAAATTGTGTGCGAGAGTAGTCGAATGCAAGTAAACCCATGTTCCATTAATTACGACGATGTTTTCCCAGGAGTTACTCGAAACTAAATGGTGCAAACTACGATCTAATGGGATCCTGGAAAATGTAAGAAAAGAATGAAACATATAGCGGTTGAATTTTGCATTGATATAAATGAATGTATAGTAATCAAATATTTACAAAATAATATTTAGTTTACATTTCATTATTATTATCAATTTTTTGTTGTTGCATGTTTCAATGTATTCTTGTAATTTAATTATAAATAAATCCTGTTTATTTTAATATATTATCTATATTTTGGATTGTTAATAAAAAACAAATAACCGAAACGAGATTTATTTATAATGTATAATAATAATTAATGTTGTAAATTAAAATAATTGAAATAAAAAAACAATAAATGTATTTGTTTTTATAATTATTTTAAAATAAATTAAAAATTGTGAATGAAAATTTGATAATATGAAAAGTATTTAACATTTAATTAATTGTAATATTTTGTTACGTGATTTTTAAATTTTTATTAAAATTATTCAGACGAAGAAAAATTGTATCTAAAAGTTTTCTGAATCATATTTAAACTTTCCAATGTATATTTGTTTATTTCATTTGAAAATGTAACTCTTTTAAATATTTTATAGTTTCAAGAATCGTAAGCCATTTATCATGCATTAGGAATGTTTGACAACCAATATAAAACTGTATAAAGCTCGTTGCAGGAAGTCCAAAGAAGAAGAAAAAAAAGTTCATTTCTCGTATAAACCCACGAGAGTTTCCCTCGAGCGACTCGAAGTTGTGTAAAAATTACATGTTTCTCCATCCCCGAAGCAAGATAAACTTCGTACACTAAACAGTAAGGAAATAGTGAACCACGAAAAATAAAAATTAAAAAAAAAGTGTATACGAAAGGGGAACGTCTGTATAGGAAACATAAAAATTAGGATTTTATGCAAAACCAGATTATGAGCACCATTAGAACGGATTATTTTTCATAATTTAAATCGGCATTAATTATATTTACAAAAAAAATTGGATGTGGAAGGATTTGGATGAAAATTACTGAGTGGAAGGGGATTTAATTAAAAATTTGAATATTTAATAAAAATGCTCATATTTTTCAGTTTCAGTACTTTTTTAAAATTATTATTTCTTATAATATCAAAAATTTAAACATCTTTTTTTTTTAAACGATTTCAGTATAAGATTTAGTTAATTAAATTTCACTAATCATCAATATTTTCAAATATTTATAAACAAAATATGCACTTTCAAACGTCATGAAAAAAAAACTGAAAAAAGAATGAAAAATACATTAATTACATCATTAAATATAATAAAACAATTGGAAATATTGCATATTTATGTCAAAAAGAGAAGAGATTTTAATATTTGATAAAAAAAAAATTAATTTCATAAGAATATTTAGTTACATTTATTTGTCAATTTATAACGTGATTGCGTTTTGTGACTTCGGTCGTAAGTCGAAAAAGTCGTAAGTCGAACATTATAAAAAAATTATAAAATTATAACATACTATTTTAGTACATAAAAATTAGTAAACTTTTCTTTTTTCATTTTTTAATTGTTAATAAAAAGTGAGAAATTAATGTGTGTAATAAAGAATTATTCACAGCTATCACCATTGTTTATACTACTGATATTTATTGTTGGATCTTAAGATTTAGCGAAAGATGTAAACAAAAATCATACATATTATAATTGTTTTTAATAAAAAAATTGGAACTATTCATAATTTTTTAGGATGTACCAGTTTCAAAAAGAAAAATAACATGAAAATATTAAAGATATTTAGTGCTTTTAGAGTTTTTCATAAACCAAATAAAAATACTTTTAATTTAGTTTTTTGGAGAATAGCAATTAACGAAATGAAAGACATCTGCCCAACTGTAAGACTTAATGGACAAGATCTTCCCAAACCAACAAAAGTCAAATATCTAGGCATGCATCTAGACAAAAAACTCACCTGTAAAGATTATATTCTGGCCAAAGAGGGAGCAATTAGAAATAAAGTTTAGAAAATTATACTGGCTTCTAGGGAAAAGATCGGAATTATCAGTGAAAAATAAATTACTTATATACAAAGTAATACTGAAACCAGTAAATCGAACATTCAAATTATACCAAAGTTCAAATCAAAATGTCTAAGAAGTATTAATAGAGCTCCGTGGTTCGTCAGGATTAAGCAAATACACGAAGATCTTCATATAGATATAGTCGAGGAGACAATACCAACATTTAGTAGTAGATACCAATATAGACTAATGTTCTGGCTATTGGCATACTCGACAAGAGTGAAAACATAATTTATTTGTTTTCATACTATGATTTTTCAATGAATCAATGTTTATTTTAAACAAAAATACAAAAGTTAATTAAACTAAATTATATATCTACTTTGTTTTCTAATTTATAAATAATCCATTCAACACTTTTTTAAATTTGTTTGCATTCATGATTTAATCCTTGTGAGAAACTACGTTAAATTCAAAGAGATACAAAAGTTTTTCTTCGTTGATTCGTGGCGCAAATGAATGTTATCAAGGCTATTACTTTGGATTGTTGAACCAAACAAAAAGAAAACAGGAGAGGAAACCGTTCCAAGGCGATTAGCAGTTTTAAAAAAAGAATCAACAGATTGGACTGTAAAAATATAGTGGAGATAGTGTGCAGCGACTGGCTTCAGGCCAGATCAGAGCCTATTTAGGTACAATTAATCTATCACTTGAAACCGATAAGAAGCTGCATTTAGCGCTGCACCATCTTTCAGCCGTCCAGTTCTATCTCTCTTCATTTTCAGATGTTTTTTTTTGTGTTATTATTTTGTTTCAGCGGAACCTCTCTCTACAAGCTGCTAATAAAAATAACCAGTATATTGTTTCGTTGGAAATCTTCAGCTTTCCGCTCCGCTGGTTCAATAAAAGAATGACGGGTAACTATATAAATTTAATTAAGAGTTTCTCGCGCTGTCTGCAAGGGCGGAAATAAACTTCGAGTTCCTCCGTGATTTTCCACCAAACCTCTCCCCCCAACCCTTCATTTCACTCCTCGTTCCGTTTGTTTTTCCACCCTTTCCACGAACTTCAGACAACAGCATTTTTCACAATCAATTTTTGTGTGCCTTCAATCTACAAAGTATGGCGGCGTTAGGTAAGAAAAGTATAACTAATGCGCATATTTTTGTTTTTGCAAAGAAATATTAATTTTGAATGATTCATTCTGTGGGGAAAACAAAACAAAAATATCGAGTTTCGTTTTATAATCGATAATTCCATTCGCATTTGTTATCATATTATACATTTGTTGTTGTTATTGTTGATGATTGAATATCCTGCTGCAAGCGATACAAAATATAGCTGAATAATTACATTCGCATATTGATATACTAAATAAAAATGTATTTCTTTTTATTAAATTCAGTAAACCTTTAGCATTTCATTGCTCAAATATATTTTCGTATTTAAGAAGATCGTAGAATTTTTCTACTTTTTTGATATCTGGTTCCGCAACT